GTAAGAACTTTTAGAAACGAGGAAATCTATGTGAATGGCTTTATGGTTAAAATTCATCAGATTAGTATTTAAAAAATTAATTTATTTAAATATATTAAATTGTGGTAAAGTGAGTATAGGTACATTTGTTGTATTTTTTATTATTAATTTATATAAAACAATAAATATTAATTTAAATTTTATTAATTATTTAATTAAAATATTTCATTAGTAAATTTTATTTTTATAGTTTTTTTTATTCTTATAAATTAATAATAAAAAAATATGCCATAATTGTTCTGAATATACTGACCACAAAAAAAGGGAAAAAAAATTAAAAAAGGAATTTTTAATTTTACCCCGTGAAGACATACATGACGAAGAAAGGAATTTCAATTTTATTTTTGCGAAAACTTAATCAACAAGGCTAAAAACTATATTATTGTTCACTCTAGTCCCATCTGCGGCACTTCCATCCTCCTCCCCTACAAATTCTTCCTCGACCCCATCGCATCATCACCCACGCAACTCAAAAAGTTTTCTTCTTTCGCTTCAGATTCAACTCCCAAAGATCAAGTAATCCCTTTTCTCAATTATGCAAGGCCCTTCAAGACCCGTCACCGGATACCCTGTTCCCAACGTTAACGGATGCGCTCCTAATCCTCCTCCACCCTCCGCCGCCACCGCCACTGCCTACCCTTACCAGAATCCAAACCCCTACCCTTACACCTATTACCAACAGCCGCTGCCTTCTCAGAGCCCTCGTGCTACCTTTGCCCGTCGCCTCCTCTTCGTCTTCGCCGCCGTCCTCATCATTTTCGGCTCCATAATCTTCATCACTTGGCTCGTCCTCCGACCCCGCCTCCCGGATTTCTCCCTGCAGTCCCTCTCCCTCCCGAATTACAACTCTTCCACCGAGCGCGTGACCGCCACGTGGGACGCTCGGTTCCTAGTCTCCAACCCCAACAAGAAATTGTCTGTCTCCTACTCCGATGTTTATTCTAGCGTCTACTATCACGGTTATGACCTCGCCGACTCTAGGATGCCGCCCTTTGAACAGGGCACGCGCAATGTGACGACGATCGAGACGAGTTTCTCACTGGTGGATGCTTATATTAAGGGGGACGTGGTGGACGCTATCAATAAGGACAGGTCAAATGGGCAGGTGAAGTTCGACGTCTTTGTTTCATCTTGGGTTGGTTTCAGGTATGGTGGCTGGAGAGGCAGGAGGAGGGTGCTCAGAGTTTCGTGCGGAAATGTGGCGCTTAACAGTTCTTCGGGGAAGATGCTCGGCGTGGCAAAAGGATGCGATGTTTATTGACTGTGAGTTGTCTTTACTTGGGGTTTTGCCTAAGCTGGGTTTGTCCCATGTGCTCACACATTGGGTTTTGGCATTCCTCTTAATTCATAATAATAATGATGTAAATATACATAGTTTATCTTATTAGGTTAGTTTTAATTCTGCAATTATTCTGTTGAGTTGTTGATTTTGATAATATTTTATCAAGTATGATATTCCTACTGTTAATAGGATTATTAACTAATATTGCTTTTGATTCTGTGTCCTGACCTGCTATGCTAATTCAGTTGTCGAGTAGATGATGTTGTTAGGTTCTTTTTCATCTTACAATCTGCACTATTTGTATTTTAGTTCTGTTTCAAAAGTAACTACAATGAGGAATTGAAGAAGTGTTCTTTCTTTTTCTGAATCTTGCTAGGATAATGGAAAGATTAGTTTAGTTTTGGATTTACTTCTCTGCTTTCTCCTCCCCATCAGTCTTTTGAGCCCATCACAAATTTCATTTTCTGTTTAAATTGTATTATTTTTTAGGATGGTGATGAGGCTGTCACTGCCAAATGTCAAGAAGTTTCCAAAAGTTTTGGACTTGGTCATCTATAAAGAAGGGGAACTTGAAGGGTAGGTTAGATTTTCTGTTGATAGAGTTGGTGCAAGTTGGATGAAATAGGGTAGCATCATAGAGATATCATATGGTTGCAAGATACATGCCAAGTTCTATATAACTTGTATAATGTGGTTATATTATAGAACTAGTTATGCTTTTATGCCAGAATTTGACACATGCTCGTGTGATGAATGTAGTGGTTGAACTGATGGCGTAAGGTTGACACATGATCATTCATCATATAAGAAAAGATAGTGCAAGTAAAGATACTTTAACTTGACTAGGCCTAGATAGTGCTGATTGAGGACAATATGGATGGTTCGTTCATGTTCAAAATGTAAACCTCGAGAGTGCTTTTCAGCATAGGTTTGGTTTCAGGACATCAGTGGAAGGAATGAGAAGGATAGGCCTAGATAGACTCATAGAGGCAGGCAGAAGCTACATAGCATGAAGGACTTGGCAGATTCAGTGGAGAACTAAGATTTGCTTAATTTATTGAACTCCAGCTAGTTCTTCTTTTTCAGCTGATTGCTTTCTATTTGAAATAGCAATTTCTTCCATAATTGGTGGCCAGTAGATAATATTGCTGTTGTGAAATACATTCAGTGCTTGAGAGCTATCCTTACAAACATATTTGGTACTTTTCCAAATATTAAGTCTGTTCTACAAACAATTAATGTGTTTCTTTGGTAAAGGACAATTCCTGTTTGCATATATATTAGTTATTGGTCGATTATCTACCTAATCATGATTAGGTAATAGTAGAATTCAGTTTTCAGTTTTTCGCCAGTCTGGGTTATAATTGAACAAAATGTTGTTACTTAATCCATTCACTGGCTTAATTCATGAATGACATTTTGGTCGTTTTTAGCCCAAACTGGCATTTTTTCTTAACCAGTCCATACTTAAAATTGACATTTCTGTTTTCCTATGAAGTATGCAAATCTTTTTGGGTGGTCCTTATTTGTTGCATGATTATTACATATTATGTTCCCATGAATCAAGATCTATCAATATGAAGGGGTGGTTAGGCAATTGTTTAGTTGACAGAAGTTTGGGATTTTGGGCTAACAATCATGATGTATATGGTATTACATTGATTCTGCAAGTCCATTTATGCATGCCCTCGTCCTATATGATTCCTTTTCTTAACTCTAGTATTTTTCTATGGACTAAGTTGTAAGAGTTCTGAATCCCAGTATGGGAGGATTTATTGGATTGGTACAACCATTACTTTACTCCTAGGTTTGACCCTCTTTGCTTTCTGGTTGTTGCCGTAGCTACTATTGGGTATTTCACTATTTCTTCAACATTGGACTTGGAATTCCAACATGGTAAAAGGCTTCCAGGCCAAGAATGTCTTTGGACTTTAGGGCCTGTTTGGTTAGAGGTTTACTTTACTGGGAAAGATTTTATTGGAAAAGGGAGTAGAAAGTGATATAGAAAGATGAAGTTGTTAGAATTTTATTGAGTTATTAACTTTTTTTATGTAGTAAGAAATTGATAAGAAATTGATATAGGAAAAGTTGGTATGAAAATTGTCAAATAGGTCCTAGTCATAGACTCTTCCTATGAAGTTTGAACCCATTTGGTATCAAAACAGGCACTTTCACCTCCAAACCTAGCCTACTAGAACTTCCCTAGAACCAGAAGAGAAAGAGACTGGTTCCCAAGTAACAAGTTAGGCACTTCTAAATCTCCCCTTTATTTTTTCTAGACACACCCAATCAAGCTATCTCCCTCTAAAGAAACTCTCTTTGAATTTTGATCAGCTCTCGGCTAAGACTAAGAATGATAGGGACATTTGTCACTTGGTCTGCTCTGTTTTAACATGCATAATTGCATATGTAGGCCAGCATTATAATAATACTGTACATAACAGAAGATATCGTCAGTAGAGACCCCAGTTCTGGCAAAATAATTTGGAAAATAATTGAGGTACAAAGGGATTGTTTAGATTAGTTTTTTTTAATATAGTTGATAGTTGATATTTGACGAATAATAATCGATATTGTTTATAATTTAAATTTTCTAATTCATTTGATTAAAATTGATAATTAACAATTGTTTCTAAAAAGTGAAAACAAGCACTCCCAAACTTAGCTCACAATTTCTACATGAAAAGTAGGTTTCCTGGTAAGTGTTGGACCATCCTCCCTATATATGTAAATACCTGATTCATAGTTTTGTATCTCAAGGTTTGGGTAAATTATTGGACCTTTTGTCTATATATATATGTCCGCATTTTGAAATTCAGACCGCAGAAGAGAAGCCATAAAATTACAATAAGAGAGCTCATCTCTGTATTGGTGTAGTTCCTCATCTTGTATGTATCTTATGGTGGTCTCTACCTCTGCAAATTTTATATCGGCATCACTGATCATTTGGTCTCCCCACAGCATCACCAACATAATGGATCTACAATGCAGGAAGATATAAGTTTTGTCATATCATTGTTCTTATGTTAAAAAGTAAAGAAACCACATGGAGATAGTAATTAGTCAGAGAAATGCAAATGAAGTAACCTGGATTGCAACCTTCACTTGATGAAATTGTTGAGATGTCCAATTTTTGAGTCCACAGCTATCTGTCTCTTATTCTTCTAGCCATCCGTATTGTATTCATTGGTAAAGATTAACTGTTAATGGTAGAAACTGAATTTCAATTTCCAGTTAAAAAATGAATAGTCAATAAGGGCAGACAAGTGAATGAAAACTCAGAGAAGATAAAGTAGGAAATGCAGAAGGAAAAGCAACAAAAACCATCTTGTATCCATCATTATATAGAGTCTGCAGCGTCTCTGGTAATGAAGGATACAAAAGGGACCAAGCATCTTCTCAAACTCTGGAAACTAAAAGGCAATTTATCTATTATCCATTTCCTCAAACCATGATGGGTAATACCAGCTAATTTACTGCTTTTTGTGCCTAGACACTTTTTCTCAATAATTAAAACCTCTTGAAAACCTATTTGAGAAGACAAAAAGGGATAAAATGATAAATGTAACTCAAAATTAGTAAAATTGAATTTCAAATAGAATAGAGGTTTCTTTTTAGACTTTTGCAGTCATTTGGTATAGAGTTAGTAGAATCAAATATAAGGAGTAGATTAATTTTGTTAATTTAATATAACTTGCTAAATCATTTCCGAGAGCAAGTCCATAAACATTTCACTTAAGATGGTAGACTGTGTCAACATGGTAGACTGTGTCAACATTTATTTGCATTAATCTCAAGTAACTAACAAAATAAGAAAAATGTCATTGGCAGGTCATGCTCATATTCTACAGTGAACTTGACTGAGATTTTTTATCTTTTAGGGGTTGTTTACTTGAATTTTTTTTTTTTTTATCATAAAACCTGTTCTCACAAGAAAATTTAAAAAAGATAAGTCCTTTTGTACTACAATTCATATAATCTTTGGCCAATTACTGTATCTTTTAATTGATTCTATCCATCTTATGAACCAGGTCTAAGTTCCATGAGGTCAAATCATTATTCTTCTCCCTTGTTCTACTTAACTATTTGTACCCCAACACCCAACCTTCTAAAGATTATCTTCACTTTTTTATCTTACCTTTTCTTTTATGACCAAACATTAATCTAAACATTCTGATTTCAGCTAAGTCATCCACTGATTAAGCTCTCTTACCACTCAGTTCCTTAAACTACAGTTGGTTTTATAACTAATTTACAGAAACTTCCCTCACAACTTGGTGGAAAACTTAGAATTACATATATCTCTGGGAAACTAACAATATTACTCTGCTAAAATCATCTTTAGGTTTTCCATCTTCATGAATTCCTAAGCAAAATTATCATGCTTAGGAATTTTTTAACCATCAAATCAAACATCTCACCTTCAATTCCCTTTTTACTAAAATTACTACCAATGTACTGTATTGTAGTCCACTTACTTAAGAACTTCTGATTAACCCTTCAATTCAAGCATTGGCATAATAGATTATGTCTGTGATATCATCAGAGATGCAAGGACTCAACAGAAAAAAAAAACAGAGATGTAAAGTTAATCCATCGAGAGAGAAATTGTGAACTGCATTGTTCATTCATCTAGTGGGCACCCGGCAGAGCAGGTCAGAACCATACATTTTCATACAATGTTGATTAACAAATGTCAGTTAACATACCTTTTATCAGATGTTTTAGCTAGACAACCATAAAAAAAATCAAATGCAGCAATTTCTCTGATTCTTGGAGAGCATCATCCTACAAAATGATCAAACTTATCAATAGAAGAATGTCTTAAGTACTCCAAACCAACAAGTGTATGTCGGAAAACTTAAGGCAAGAACATCAGATCAGATGGCCATGCTGCCAAACATAACCCTCCAACTTGTATGGAAATATGCAATTCCATGCACTTTCTTTTTTTAATGAAGTCCTAATACTTCTGTTTTGGTGTCACTGAGCCCAATTATTATGAATTAAAACTGTAACATTAATTAAACTACTCGTTGGTACTAAGGTGTACAAAAAAATAAAATAAAAATAAAAACTCGAAAAAAAAAATTAAACCAATTGGAGGCCTTAATAGAAACCATGACAATAGAATAAAAGCAAACCTTGAAAATCGTTGGGTTAGGAAAAGGGAAACACAATTTTTCCAAGTTCTGAAAAAAAAAAAAAAAATACATTGAAAACTAAGGGTTTTAATCCAAAGCTAGAATCAATGGAACCAGAATAAAATTTTCAGGCTTCACTGAACCATAAAAAATTTCAGGGGTCAAAACTCAATTTCACATCTTTGACAAGTTTGAGGGCACCATCTCAATCATTTATATACCACCAAATAAGAACAAATAATGCAGATAATGCTAATTACCCGAAGAAAAGTGGCTAATCAAGAAAGATCAAAATATGCAAGATGAGAGCAGTTAGTAAAAACAATGTATTTCCAATATTAGGGAAGCAGTCAAGCTGATTACTTTTACTTTTCATTTTAATACTATAAAACTGGAAACTCTCCCTCTCAAGGTATATGATTGTTTGGAATGCTTTCCATTTTGGTAGCAATGCAGCATCAAAAACAGATAAAGAGAGCAAATTCTTTGAATATTACAAGAAAAGAATCACATTTGACTATGCTAATGCACAGAATATATTAGTGTAACATGCATGCATCATACCTTATACTTGTCCGAGATATCAGACACAGAAAGGCCTATTCCAAACTCAGCTTTCTCATTAGGTGTTGACAACTACAAATAAACACAAAAAATTAAAAGCAATAAGATTTCCATCTCAGGAAAACAGATATTGGAAACTCAAAGAAATATCCTTTATACATGAAAAATAACTTTGATGAGTAATATTGGAAAAGAGGAGATGATTAAAAAGAGAAAACAAAAATTCCCCTTAAAAAAGAAGCAACGAGAAAAGAATAACCATCAGCACACCTTTATTTTCTTAGGATTTCTTTCCTCTTCATTTGTCTTGGACTGTCCTCTGAACACGGTTAACATGATGATGCAAAATATCAGAGGTAGTTTGTTTTAAACTGATACAAATACAATCACAAAGATGGGGATTAAAAAGTTCACCTTGAAAAGGAGAAGGAAAAAATAAAAACCGAGAAGATACATGATGATCCAATTACTTCAGCCATGATAAGAGAAACCACCTCTGAGGATGTGTCTTTGGGTCATCTTTAGTTCCACCTTTTCATGGACTCTTAATTGTAGGATGCTTGTAGAAAACACCATCAATAAGCAAAAATATATATTAATACAGTACATACAATTCAAAGTTCAAATAAAAATTTATGAATAAGACTGTGATATACATTACACAGCAATCCTAATCACAGCATTATACAAGAGTTTAAAATCCAAAAGAAAAAAATGAAAACACACACAAATGATAAAAATAAAAATAAAATTTACAGCTTCTTGCCTGTCTATGCATCAGATCACCGGCGAAAGATTAAACTGACAGCTACTATCCTAATTTCATCAAAAACCAGCTACTCAGAAAAGTGATATCATAAAAAAACACCAAGTTTTAACCCAAAATTTTCAACAAACATTGAAGATGAAATAATAATAATTCACATGAAAAGACATGACAATCTCAGAAAGAAAGGGCAACTGCCTGCAGCTTCTACTGGAACTAATTAAGTTCATGCACACATTATTTTTGTCAGATCTTCTTGCAGGAAGAAAGAAAGCCAACTGCCTGCAGCTTCTGCTGTGGAAAAGAAAGCAAAATTACAAAAATTATTACGAGACTATTCTACCCATTGTTATGCTTAGAAGGAGGAGCACAAATAACAGAGGCTGAAGAGACTCACCTGAGACTCTCCTCTTGGGTTTTTGGTCCCAAAACTGAGAATGTGTTCCTTGTAACCATCACTGAACTCTGAAGTATACCCCACAACACGAGAGAAAGGGGTGTGGATTATTCGATTGATGCCACTTTCTCTGTCTTAGCTTTTGTCCAGAAACAAGATCCTTGAAGATCACACCATAATAATAACAACATGTAAAGATATTTGTCATGTTTTAACAACAACTCTTAGTCTCTAGAAGCAAAATAAAATA